GGCCAGACTGGACACCTCCATATATATATCTTAAAGAAAAATAAAAAGAATGTCTTTGGACTTTTGATAAGCTGAATGAAATAGATTTATTTGATATATAATAATTTAAGGTTTTTAGTTTTCTTTCTTAAAATGCATGTGATTTATCAGCATCTTATCTATCTTACAAAATAAATAATAGAAAAATGACTTTAGTTCATTTTTTTCTTCGTTGTTGATTTTGGTAAATAACAGTTTTGGTCTTACGCATTAAGATGCTTTTTGATTTCTTTATAGATATTTTTAGTTGTTTATTTGAAGATTTAACTGAATTTTGTTATTCTTGATAATCATCTAATATCAGCATATGACACGAAACATGTAATACAAGAGTACTTGATACTTAAATCAACACGAAGAGAGACAAGTTTAAAAAAAGAATAGATAAGATATTCGAACAATTAGACACAATTTCATCTTTACTTTTTTTTTTATCTTTACGGATTTTTTCTTTGTATACGAAACTTTCTCGTTCTTTAAGATCTCAAATTCACAGAATAAAAAAAGTAATATTCTTTCTTTGATAATCACTATAAAAGGAAGTGGCTGTTCTTCTTTAACACATTAGAAATATTTTAATAGAAAGAGGTTTAACATTTATTTTATTCGTTGAGAAATAGCTGTGGACTGTTGCAAATAGATTCACGTCAATACACCACAATGCAAAGAATTGTTGAAAATGTTGAAACTTCCTCTATAGGAAATAAAGCTGGTAGTAATGAATCTGTTAATTCTTCTTATAATAATAATAATAACAAGAAAACATATACTTCAAAAAGTACAAATGCTCCAACAAGTCAATCACCAGGTACAAGCTAATCTTTTCCATTTTTCAATAAAAATTTTACTTTGATCTAGGAATATCAAAAGCATCAACTTCTGCGAATAATAATACATCAGGAAAATTATTCAAAAGTCTTTTTGGTATACAACAATCTAAACAGTATATCTTTCGTGTTTCTTATTTTTCTTTTTAATATTGAAAAAAAATTATTTTATTTAGACTATCACGATCAAATAGTGCAACAACACCACTTGCTTCAAACAATACACCACATCATCAATCAGACACTGGTGTTACTCATATTACTTCAAGATTAATCGGTATTAATTTACTCATGTATTATTATAGAAAGTTTAATTCATCAGAATGATATTCTCTAATCAATACAGCCGAGGCTTTTTCTCATTAGAATATACTACAGAGCTTCAATATATCTATAGATCTTATTTTAAAATATAAGTTAAGAATTCTAAAATAATCTAATTTACTTCTGTATGATTGAGAAACTTAGTAAAGAAAGAAAACGTATAATTCATAGAAATCTGTTCAAGCATCACAAAGATCTTCTGAGAAAGCTCATTCGATATCGGTAGAAATATTATACAAAAAAGTAGATATCAAGTAGAAACTTAATTCCATATTTGAAACTAGTCTAGATTTTTTATGACTACTATTGGTTCGTTCACAGATTGATCAATTTGAAATTCATACTGGTATCATGTCTATCTCTAATATGAAGGACAGTATTCTTCACTTAATATCTAATAGATTTGATACCAATTCAAAATCTTGAACAGTTAACCATGATAAAGAAAATTATGAAAAAAAAAGAAGCAAAATTGATTGTATAAAATATACACGGCATTATATAATTAGAATCAATAGAAACGTTAAATGAGTCTTTGCGATAGAAGTAGAGAAATAAATAAATTAGATTGATGACTGGACCGATTGATACTAATTCCATACTTGATTAATTCGACTATCTAGAGAATGAGGCAATCACATATCCAAATTCGCTTCTTCTACTCTCTTTCATCTAATGCAAGTCCGACCATCTTGATGTATAATTATCTTAGATGATTGTATGATTTCCATATACATTGTCTTGATTTAGTTCTCTAAAAGCTTTGTAACATAGATAATATTGAATAAAATATTTTAGTAATATCAACACAACGCGAAAACCCATCTGATGCATCTTCACGTCAAACAGCTGAATCGATTCGTAATTTTCTTGACACAAAATATCCACAATCATATATGATTTATTCACTTGAGCAATTTCCTATTGATCAATTATCTTATCAACAAGACTTATTTCATAATAGGGTTTGGTTTTAAATTACATATTTCTTCAAAAAAAAAATGATGTTTTTTTGTTTATAGTTTCATAACTTATCATTATTTGATGAAAAACAATCACCACGTCTCATTGTTTTATTATGGTTTTGTCAAAAAATAACATCATATTTACTTGAATCACCATCAAATATAGCTGTACTTCATTCTCATGTAAGTTTTTCCAAATTCTATGTGAAAAAAAAGAAAGAAATTAATTATTTAAAATAGGATGCCAAAAATCAACTAGCATTTGGAGCATGTTCATTACTTGCTTATCATCAAATATTTCCACGAGTTGATCAAATTATTCAATATTATGAATCCAATGGATGTGCATATCCATCATTAACAATGTCACAAAAAAGGTTTTTTTTCCTCTCTAGATATAATAAATTTTTTTTCTAATAATATTGATTCAGATATATACAATATTTATGTGATTTGTCATTTGGTGTTATTGAAAAACCACATTTTAATGAATCAATTCTTAAATCAATAACTTTATCACCAGTACCATGTGTTAATCGGCAAAAGTCTCTTGTTTTCTTTTAATTAAATAG